GAACTAACTGTGTTGCTAAGATAGATTGTGTTTTGCAATGTTCTATTTTTTTTTCAATTTTCACTTTATACACTTGAGGATCCCTAGCCTAACCCTGGTATTTTATTTGCTTCTTCAATTTCTGCAAGTTGAACGTGGTAAAGCTTTACGCTTTGATGAAAATGATTCCTAATGCTTTTCTTGAAAATAATCTAGCAATTTGAGAACATGAAAAAACCATAAAATAATTTTCTGAAGATAAAAATTTATATTCTCACCAGTTTCCTAAAATTTAAATTTTAATAATTTAGCTGTATTTGGAGTAACAGTTCCTTGAGCAATGAATCATTTAAAAATATAATTTATTGTTTAAACATCATTTAAAGAACCATTTCCACATTTTGTTCTTGATCTGAAAATATCTTTCTATTCTATCTTACTATGTTCAAGAAAAGCAAGTTGGCAGACCCAGAAAAATGTGAAGAAGAAAAGCAAAATAATCATCGCCTTGCCAAATGAAAGTTTGGTGTGTTACTTTTATGTGTACTTTTTTGTTCTGTGCAGGAACTTTTTAATTTTACAAAATTAATTTCATTGTGTATTCTGCTTTTCCCCATAAAATTCTTCCATTTTCATTTAGTTAACAAGTATATTCAAACATGATTTTTTATTAGTACATGTTTGTAGTGCTTAATGTTTACATTCCCTGTGTGAAGTTGGTACATGTACTTAACATTTAAATTTCTCTTTTCTTCCTCTTTCTTTCTCTTTCCTTTTCCCTTCCTTTATCTCTTAATCCCATTCCTTTATGAGCAAGACCTATTGTCCTATTTCCTATTATCTATCCTCTGTCTGTCTGTCTGTCTGTCTGTCTGTCTGTCTGTCTGTCTGTCTATATTTAGGACCAGATGTACAAGATGTTCAGGGTCTCACTGCACAGATCAGACTCGTAGTGATCCTTCTACTTACAGCTTCCCAAGTGCTGGGATTGCAGGCGTGCGCCAGCACGCCCAGTCTCAATTGCCCTCTCAGAGTGCCCCGGGGTGGGGCCAGCATGGCAGGCCTGGGGATCAAACCCCTGGCACCTGCGTCTGCCTAAGCAGGCACTTTAATCCGCTGAGCCATTTGGCCAGCCCTTTTTCTCTGTATTTTTATATTTGTATACTTCTGTAGTTTTCTGTTTGAATTTTACCACCCAGATAATTCTGGATGACATTAAAACATATGCATAATATATGTTTATGATAGCCATGGTTGACGTGTATGAACAGTCTGTGTTTGCTGATAACTTGATGTCTTGCTCTATTTTGTGTTGCTGTACAAAGTGTCTAGCACTGGGTATGTCTCAGAGTCATAAAATCTATTTATCTCGCAGTCCTGGAGCTCTAGGGGCATGTAGCATCACCCTCACTCTCCTGGGGCAATGCTTAGGCCGTGACACACCAGGGCAGATGGCATCACACGGCGGGAGCATTGGCAAGACGGAGAGGTTATATGTGAAGAAGAAGCCAGAGGCTCAGGAGGGCCAGACTTGCTCTTTTATAACAAAGCACTCTTGGGAGAAATAATCCAGTCTCGTGAGGCCGAGTGTCAATCCATTCAGGAGGGTGGCGCTCCCATGACCTGATCACCTTCCTCTAGGCCCTGCCTCTTACAGGTGTCCCTGTATTCCAACATCGCCACGCTGAATACCAACTTTCCAGAACAGAGCAATAATACTTGTCCAATTTCATTTTGTATGGGTGCTTGTACTATATAATTATTTATGTATTCATAAGTTTAATTGTATTCTAATATGCAAATACAACCTAACCTCACCACCCAGATAACTCTGGATGACATTAAAACAATAATAAAAAATTAAAACAATGATAAAAATTCAAACAAAAAAGCACAGAAGTGCACAAACCTGCAAAACAGAAGCTTCCTGTACCTCTAGCCTCTTAGATCCCTTCTCTCCAACGTTAAAATTTCTTGTGATTTTTCACCCTAGCATATACTATCATTCTCTGTGTGTGTGTGTGTGTGTGTGTGTGTGTGTGTGTGTATGTATTTAGTATAGGGTCTATAGGGTCTCACTACACAGATCAGACTTGTAGTGATCCTCCTGTTTTCAGCCTCCCAAGCACTGGTTTTATAGGTGTGTGCCACTGTGCCCAGTCTCAGTCACCACCTCAATGTGCCCTGGGGATGGAGCTGGCATGGCACTCTGGGGATTGAAACCTAGTCTCTGCATCTGCCTAACCAGGCATTTTAATCCACTGAGCTATCTGGCTGGCCCCTAGCATATATTATCTTTAAAAATTTTTTTCAAATTTTTTAAAAATCTATTAATTAATTTGATACAGGATCTTGCTATGCAATTCAGACTCATAGTGATCATCCTGTCTCAGCCTGCCCATACTGGGATTATAGGTATGTGTCACCATCCCTGGTCTCAGTGGGCAGCACAGCACGCCCTGTGTTTCAGGGCTGCACTGCATGTGGTACATTGGATGGAACCTGGGTCCTTGCGCTTACCAGATAGGCACTTAAACTACTGAGCCATCTTCCCAGCCCCTACTATATATTATCTATTTATAGAATTTTTTAAATGTGTGCAACAGATCATATTCTCCACACTGTTCTGCAGCTTGTTTTTCTCTCTTAAAAATCATTCTTGATTACTTTTGTGCAGCATAAGGGACCTGTCTCTACAAAGGTGTGCCTACTTCTCAATCTGTTAGTCTTACCTGTGGTACCATTGATTTTTCTGCTGTGCTCCTGGAGTTGAGAGTTATTTTACCTATATGCTCCCAGTCCACACCACTTTATGTTTCTCCAGCTCTCAGACCCTACATGTATATGAGTGGGACCCCTGATCCTTGGTCTCCTTAGTCCTGCCGATTACTTGGGGAAGCCTTGAACAGTCTCACGTACACTCAGGCCAGACCCCTTTTTGCTTCTATTTCCAGTTCCCAACACCCCTTTAAAAGAGTATTTACCACTGCCCCAGAGCTGATGCCTTTAAAGAATGTCTCCCATCCTTTGCTCAGGATTCTGTTTCCCTAGGTGGCAAAGGTGAGCATAATCATTTCACTTGGAAGCACAATGTATTTGCATACTCTGTGTGTATAGAAATATATCCATGGATGTTGGCATACGCCAAGTAATAATGCATGCTGTCTCGACATTCTCAACTATTGTTTCTATGTAAATCATGTCATTCTGACTGTAACTATCCATATTCCATGACCCAGCCAAAAGGCACAGCTGATTAAAGTGCCTACAAGCAGGTGCAGGGGCTGGGGATTCGATCCCCAGGCCTGCCGTGCCGGCCCCACCTCTGGGGTGTGCTGAGAAGATAATTGAGACTGGGCGTGGTGGTGTGTGCCTGTAATCCCAGCTCTTGGGAGGCTGTAAACAGGCAGATCACTGAGTCCAATCTAGTAAGATCCTGAACACCCTGTAGACCCTTCCCTATAATACAAACAAGCAAACAAACGAAAAATCCATATTCTTGCTGGCGCATGTATTAGTTTCTCATGTTGCATAACCACATGAAGACCAGTATGGAAAGAGGAAGGCTTTGTATTGGCTGAAGATGATGTTGCTTTTGAGTTCCTATGAGGAGCAATGAATCCTTACCATGGCAGCTCAATGGCAGGGAATGCTATGTGTTCGGATGAGGGAGGAGGTTAACTATTTGACTTAAAACCTGAGTTTCCAAGATGTCTGTCTCAAAGCAGATAAAAGGAGAGATAACTGTGATAAAAGACAAAAAAGAAGAAAGCAAAGGAGAGAGGGATGGAAGGAGGGAGGAAGCAAAATAATCTCTCTCTTTTAACCTCTATCCATAGTTAGTCATTAATTAGCCAAGCTCATGTTCTGCAGATAGAGGGGCAGCAGAGTCATTGTCTTTGCCTTTAGAGTTGTGGGGACACCCTGCCTGCCACCACCTTCATTGTCACTACCAACGCCTCGTGACTTCTGCTACCATGATTATTTTTTTTGCCAATCCAGATTCATGCTAAAAGATTGAGTAATCCAAAAATTTGCTTGAGTCAGATATTGTGAAACATGCATTTGGAATGATTCCCTGAGAAAGCTGGGTGCAGAATACAAATATTTTGAATGGACTTATCTCAGAATTGTACTGCTTTTTTTTTTCATGCCATTTAAAAACCCTTAATATGAATAAATTGTTTGTATAGTGGGGCTTTTAAAAAATCCTTAGATAAGAAAGACATGGTTGGAAAGTGGAAAATAAACACATGAATGATAATGACTACAGTGCCCAGGAGAGGGTTCTTGCTGCTGCTGCTGCTGCTGCTGCTGCTGCGCAGGCATTATAATAATCGGCTGTTTGGCGTGTTTATTTTAGGTTGCAGATACTGGATAAAAGTGGCTGGTGGGTTGCCAACACATGACTTAGTTGCCAAATGGAGTGTTTAATAGTTGTTACATGTGACACATATCACAAGTTCTTCCCATTAGCAGTCTGCTGGTGATAACCTACTTGGCTTTTCATGTGGTTCCTTTGAAATAGCCAGTTGACAACATCGGGCCTTTCACAGTATATAATACTGAATAAAAGATGGAGTGAATAACTCACGGGCTCTGCTCTATACTGATATGGTACTTGCCACAGATTGGGTACCCTGTCTATCTCTGCTCGATGAATGAACTAGACCTGTGTAGACCCTGTTCTGGTTTACTGTAGCAAGGTTAGGTTTAAGGACTTGAGACCCAAAGGTCTAAAAGAGATAAAATAAATAAAAATAATAATGCTTATTGGTCTAAAAGGCTGGAATTTAAAGAAGGAGGAGATAGTCTTCTCATCTTTATTGCTATTTAAATATAAGTTTGAATTAAATGGATGAAAGTCTCCTCATAATGTCCTTAATCTAAATTAAAGTGTAAACTTGTCATGCTACTAATGTCTTTAATCTCTAGTCAATTTTTAAAATACTGATCCACTTCGGAAATATTGGCCCTGGCTGTGTAATAAATTATGCTTTAAATCATATCTTTATTTTTAGATTGAAAACTTACAAGAACAACTTAGGGATAAAGACAAGCAGCTGACCAACCTGAAAGACAGAGTGAAGTCCTTGCAGACAGATTCCAGCAACACAGACACAGCACTGGCAACGTTGGAAGAGGCGCTGTCGGAGAAGGTGAGTGTGGACTCAGAAGCAGGCCAGGGGAAGGTGGTCCAGGTGCCTTCCCATTTGCCTCTTTGTCCACTCCTGGCACTGCCATCAATGCCATTTGGACCTCCTGCTTCCACTCCAGCTCTCTCCAGTAAACCTGGCACACTGCAGCCTGGGACGGCTTTTTATGATGTAAATCTGATTGTGTCACTCTTAGTCCTTCTGAAAAACGGAAATCCTAAATGCGATCCATCGGGTCTATCCTAACCTTTGAACTGGCTCATTTCCATAATTTAGTAATTGTTAGTAATTTTCTTAGCAATACCTCCTAGGCTCCCCATTTATTTGGAATCCCATAAACTTTTCAGAGCTCTTGTCATACACTTAATTGTTCTTATATTTGTATTTTGGTCATTAATTGGTCTTCTGTGCTAGACTCCAAGCCCAAGCAGCATACCCTGTGTGTGTTTTAATTTGTCATCCTCGTGCCTACTGCTGACGAGTTCCCACCCATGTGACAGTTGCTGCTGCAGGTCCTGGAATGCAACAGAGAATAGAATGGACAAAAGCTCTGGTTCTCATGAGTTCACATTTTAATGAGGACAAGGGGAAGCCAGACCCTCCCTCCCAAAAAAGTCACATATGTAAAATTGTAGATGATAATAATTTCTGTAAATAAAAAGAAAACAAGAATACTCATAGATCCATTGATGTGAAGTGCACAGGCAGGGACCCGATAGGCAGGTGACATTTAAAGAGGGAGGCTGAAGGTGGGCGAGAGCCCTTTTGGAGGGAGGAAGTACTTGGCAGAAGGTAGAGCAAGTGAAAGGGGGAGGGAGATGGAGAGTATAGCCCCTGGTCCTTCTGAGAAAAGAGATTTAAAAATTGCCTTGTAGTATCTGGGGGACAGGAAGCCACACTGAGACTTTCCTTCTCACACTTAAAAAGATTGCTTCAGATAAAAAAAAGAAAGAATGAAATCCATTAGGCTAATAGATCATTCTGACTTTAAGTTTTTAAGATGGTTTCTTGTCCACTTCATTCTGGCTGAAATAGTTCATTCTTGGGCATCTACTATAGGTGGCATCTTTGTAGCTGAATTTCATTATGGTTCTATCTTTGCCCTCTACCCTACCAAGTGTGCAAAAGCCAGAGCCCAAGAGTGGGGCAGGTAAAGTTCTTTAGGAATTTTGACAAACAGCTGGTTTTGGGTTGCGCATGCAGTGTGTCACTGCAGTTTTTAGGCCTTGCATTACTGACCGTATTTTCAAATTTAGCTTAAAACAAAAGAAATCTGAACTTTTAAAATGTGTGAGTAAACCCTTTTGTGTTCTTTTTCTGTATTTCTCATCATTTTGATTCTGCAGTACATTCCAGGACTTGTGCATAACTGTGGTTGAGAGAGGGCCATTTTTCTTCCAGGTGTCTTATGATAGTAACAGTGTTGTCTCTTTCATTCTCCATGGTGATGTCCTACGGGCCCTGTGGATAGTGTGGTCAAGTGGAATGAAACCGAGGGACCAGTCCCACCTGTGCCACTAACTAGATGATCCTGGCAAGGAAGTCTCCCTTTCAGGCCCTCAATTGTCACCTTTATTAAATGAGAGCATTAAATTAAATGGACCACAGGTTCCCTAAGTCAGTGCATTGTAAAGAAGGTTTTTCTGCTACTGCCTCAGAATTTGGACCTTGTGAATATTTATCAAATCTGGACCTTAAGTAGAGCCTGGGAATTTGTACTCTAGTGAACTCCCCAGCAGTTTGTGTTGTGCACTCTACCTTCAACACGACTGTTCTATCATAAAAATACTGATACTGAGAAAAGATTTGTAGCTCTATGTTTAGTCTTCATGTTTTATTTTAAATTATAGTTATAAATTTAATATTAAATTATAAGAACTGTAAGATTATATTTGAAGGCTCATAAAAATATTTTATAAGAATTTTTTCAGGCATATTCTTTCAACTTTCAAGAATTTATATGTCAAATTCTGCATATTAATTTTGTTTGTCAAATTAGAAGGAGGGGTATTTGTTAAACAATTATTAAGATATGTGTTCCTTTCGTATTTTGGGGTGATATGATATTAGCTCATTTCTACTTCTTGATTTCATTCTTAAAATTTGTGGAAGTAAACATGGTTTTCTGTGTCATGAATTTTTTGGCAAGATTTTATTTATTTATTTATTTTTTCTGAGCCCTATGAAGATTTGATTTATCCTTGTTTAAATCCCAAAGCAGTTCCCAAATCTGAACCTGCTCTTTTTCTGTAAGTACAGTGTTTCCTCTGAGGCTGAGGGCGTGTCAGAAAGGAAAGCTGAGTGAGTGTCTGTGAGAGTCTGGCTTCTTCACTGCTTGATCTTGTGATACCTGGGACTTGTCTCCTCCCCTCAGGGCTTTTCTGCACCTCCTCTTCCAATTGGGCCTGACCGCTAGGTGTCTTTCTCTTCTGAATGAACAAGGCAATGGATTATACAGTTTTCTGATCTTGAGTTTTAGGCACAGAACCTCTGAATTGGCTCATGGGTAAAGATCCAAGAACATCATAGATGACAGGAAGAGATCGGTAGAGAACCAAAATGAGAGAAATGGGTTTGCTGGAATACAGGAAGGACTGCTAGTGGCTATGAAAAGTGGACAGTTCACTGACCTGTCTGAAAACATTCAAATTAAGGATTTTTAAAAAAAATTCTGATGGTCAAATCAAATAGCTGTTGGTCAGCTTGGGCCTGTAAGCTGCGCCTTCCAAACCCTGTTTACCTCTCATTTGTAGTCTTTCACAGAAATGAAGAATGAACTGAACACAGAGCAGTTCATTTGGAGGAAGTTTTCCAGGGATGCCCAAACCAGAGCACTATTCTATTTGAAAAGCACTGGATAGGAACTGGCAAGACTCTATCACAGGACAAGTGGAAGATGTAAATACTTACGACAGCGAATCCAGTGAGTAGCAGGATAGAGAGTGACTTGGACTGAGAATGCACCCAAGTAATTTTTACCTAGGCAGTTGAAATATTTCCTGAATCTTATTTTTTTAAAGATTTTGGTTCAGTTGTTCTAGTGTGAGCCCTAGGAGCCTGTGATTTTTAAGGGTGACTAGGGAACATAGGGTTGGAAAAACCACATTTTGAGGAACACTAAATTTAAGCATTTCCATCTTAAAGATGGCAAATGGGCTCATGAGGTTAAGTGACTTCCTCATGTATGAAATTTTGGACACATGTACCATCATACTCCATTTCTAGGCATGGGTATGTATCCTTAGTCATTTCTGACAGATACTAACTTCTTACCCCAGGGTTTCTGGAAGCCACTTTTGCCCTAAGTACATGTAAATACTCTTTCCAGGCTGAGGAGATAGCTAGGTGATCTAAATGCCTGCCTGGAAAGCACAAGGCCTTGGGTTTGAACTCTTGTACCACATGCATGCTGGCCCTGGAACACCAGGCATGCCATACCAGCCACAGCTGTGGCGGTGCACACCTATAATCCGAGCACTGGGAAGGCTGAGATAGGAGGATCACTATGAGTCTGAGCTGAGTAGTGAGACCCTGTACCATATTAAAAGAAAAAAATGCTGTTTCTACTTTTTTACACTTTTATCTACATTTAATTGAACAAATTGTAGGAGTCATGGTGTGAAAAATAAAGTTGATTCATAAATATATTTAATCATTTTCTGTCTTTTGAGGTGGACAGAATCTTTCAGGCACTATTCACTGTTTCCCTTGGATTATGGCATTCTGGGGAGTGTGTTCATCTTTTTATTTTCCAATACTTAATTTTACTATTGAGAACATATAAAAATGAGTTAATATTGAAAATAATTTAGGCTTGAGGTATATTTCATGCAGAGCTTTTGCCTGGTATCAAAGAGGCCCTGAGTTTAAAAGTGAGTATGATTTAGTTCTGCGATTGACACACAGAAGCCCAAAAGCTGGGACCTACTGTATCTGTGAAGCTGGTCTTTCCAAGCCTTGCTGTAGCCACCTAGCAGATAAGCAGTTTTAAAAGGCAGATAGCATAGCTGGAGGCCACTGCAATGCATTTCCCCTCGGTGATAAGGCCCCAGTAGATTAGACCTATGCAGAGCCAGCAGAGTGCATTAGGAACCCTTGCCAATGCAAATAAGTCTAAAACAAGAACACATTGTTGGAATTTCTGCAAGTTAGTTGTTAATCAACTAGATCTTGGCATATTAAGGCCTTTTAACACATGTTTTTGACATCTGGCCCTGTGTGGCTGACAGTTAAATTAGTTTTGTGATTGACAGAGAAATATTTTATAGGATTGAACCATCAATAGCATTTAAAAATGTTACAGGGCTTGATGACTTTTTTTGTCATCGATGCCCAGTTGGTAATACCAGGGCTTAAAGCAAATTGACCTACTTTCCAAATGACTTTGACACCTTGTGGGTGTTAATGCACATGCTTAATTTTATGGACCTTCCTTTGAATCATGGATGGTCCCTAATTGAGTTCTTCTTTTTCATCAACCTGTTTAAGTGCCTGTTGTGTGCCAGACAGCGATCTAGCCTGGTCTGAAAAGAATCACAGTCTCTACTCTCTAAGTTAGGAAGATGGACATGAAGTGAAGCCATGTGAAAGGGCTAAGGGGCAATAAATGCCATGTGATCTGTCCGGAGGATTCCTGAAAGGTTTCTAAGCAGTGATGTAACCATGTCAATTCAGGGTTTAGAAATGTCACTGTCAATAGCCATGTGGTGGGAAGTGACAGAAAGGAAAAGGCCCAGTGGCCAGGTGACTGGCTATAGTATCAGCAAGTGATAGCAAAAGCTCAGTTGCTGAAAATTGTTCCAAGAACTTTGAGAGACATACCATGCACTGTGATCAGTGCTTCCTTTCACAGATTACGTAATTGTTCACTCCTCATTGTCATGGGAAAAGTCAGGTTGGTCTCTAACTGAAATCAAGAAGAAACAAATATAGGGAATTAATAAGCTCATTTATAGGGGCCGGGGAGATGGCTCACTAGAATAAGTACTTCCCTGGCCAGCGCAAGGGCCTGACTTCAATCCCTGGTTCCACCAAAAAACAAACAAAAACAGTAAGCTCATTTGTTTTATTTCCACTCTCATTGTTATAACCATGTACTTCATTTGCTTTGTTTTAAAATAATTAAAAAGTAGTAATGGTAAGTTTTTCCCCCTCAAAAGTATTATAAACATGAATTATTGTCATTTGGATAGTACATTTTCTTCCTTAGGGGATGTTAAATCATATATTAACATTCACATTAAGTTCTTCCCACATTAAAAACTTTTATATATTTGACTTATATATTTGACATTGTCTTATACTGTGTACTTATAAAAATATAAAAGACAATCAGAATATTTTGCATCAATAATGTTTAATGTGGCACCCAAAGGAAAGTTTAGGTAAGTGTTGGTTAATTTCAAAAATAATTTCAGAAATGTAACTTAAGCTTTCCCAGGTGGAATTTTTCTCTGTGGTCTTACTTTGATATCAGCCAAGTTCCAGATTTTTGGAAAACATCTACAGACTAGGTTATCCCAATCTGAATTCAAAGGCAGGTTCTCATATTTCTTTTTCTTTTTAAAAAATTTTATTATTATTATTTCTTAATGTATTTGGTTGTTGCAGAGTCTCACTATGCAGCTTGGGCTCATGATGATCCTCCTGCTTTCAGCCTCCTCAGCATTGGGATTACAAGGATGCACCACTGTGCCCAGACGCTGGCCTGCTCAGCCAGGGATGGCTCAGCATGTGGTGCCAACGGCCCTAATTCTTATATTTCTTAAATGAGTCTATGCATGCATTTGTGGCATGAGCCTTTCATGAGCAAGGCTTAGAGTGAGATAGCCCCGGGTGCTAGGCTGAGCCCTTAGGTACGTACGTGTTGTGTCACTTTGAGTGAGGTAGCAGCCCCCTCGGATGTGGGTGTTCTGCCCTCCCACTCTCCCCAGTTGAGCACTGGCTCTGCCCTGCAGGTTGTGATGAGGACTGGTGAGGGCCAAGGCCTAGTGTGTAGTAAACCCCGAGTAAAGGAAGGGTCTGTTTGAATTTTGCTCAGACTAAACCAGTGTTTTGTAGCTTCCATTGGTTAACAAGAAGCCATTGAAAAAACACAGTATATCTCCAGACACATTTGACAGACCACATTTACAATGTATTTATTCTGTTTTTCTTGATTTTTTATTTATTTATGTATTTGGTACAGGATCTCACTACATAGCTCAGACTCAGCGATCCTCTTGTCTGAACCTCCCCGGTGCTGGGATTACAGGATTGTGCCACCACACCCAGTTTGGGGGCTGGCATGGCATATGGTACTGGGGATCAAACCCAAATCCTTGTGCTTGCCAGGCAGGTACTTAGACTGCCAAGTTGTCTTCTGGGCCCCAGATTTATTCTTTATTGTACTTCAATTTCTTATTGAGAGTCTAGCCCTAAATCCTAGAATGTTAGGTTCCATCCTGCCTCAGTTCTCTGTCTAGCCAAAGAAAAGTCTTCAGAGCGAGGTAGCTCAGCAGACTAAGTGCCTCCTTTGGCAAGTGCAGGGACCAGGGTTTGATCCACACTGAGACTGGGTGTGGTAGTGCATACTGTAATCCTAGCACTGGGGAGGCTGAAAACAGGAGGGCCACTGTGAATATGAGCTACATAGTGAGACCCTGTACCAAATACATTAATAAATAAAATAAAATAAAATAAAATAAAATAAAATAAAATAAAATAAAATAAAATAAAATAAAATAAAATGAAATGAAATGAAATGAAATAGAGAAGTCTTCAGAAACCATAGAAAACTTTAATGCCAACCAGGGAGACCAAGCAAAGAGGTCTATGTTAAGAGGTCTACCCTGTTTCTTCCCTGTCTCAGTCTGCTCTCATTGCTGGAACAAATACTCAACAACCAAAATGAAGGAAGGAAAGGTTTACTTAGCTCACAATTACTGGAGTTCACACTCAGCTGGCTCCAAGGCAGAGTGACACATGGCAGAGTGTAGCAGTTCATGGTGCCAGAAGGCAGCAAAACAGCAAGAGCAAAAGAGAGGAGTAGCAGCAACAATGGCACAATGGCTACAGAGAACAAGTATCTCTCCTCCTTATATTGCCTTTAGGCTATGTGCCCCATGCAGGGTGTAGCACTCACACCCATAATCCCAACAGTACTCAGATCCATAATCCCAGCTTTGGATCATAAATCAATCACAAAGTCCAGAAGCTGCCCCATGCCACACGACTGCATGAAGCTTTGGGGGGACAAATACACACAAAACCATAACGTTCCCCTTCACAGTGCAAATCTTCAGCATCTGATCTGGGTGCTTGAACCTCCCTATTCAAGAATTACTGTAGGTCTTTCTCAGCACTTAACATTAAGATCCTGTGTAACCCTTTGATACTAAGTTATATTAATGAGGAGCCAGAGAGCTAGCTTAGTGGTTTAACCATCTGCTTAGGCAAGTGTAAGAACCCGGGTTCAATCCCCAGTACCACAGGCCATTCCAGCCTGCCCCCGGGTACACGCTGGTAATCCCAGAGCTGTAGAGGCTGACACAGGAGGATCACTATGAGGCTGAGCTGTGTAGTGAGACCCTGTACCAAATACATAAAATTAAAGAAAACAAAAGTATTATATTAATAACTCAAAAGTTATATTTATTGTGTATATTTGCTATACAAATAGTAGTATGCCAATTCTTTCCACAGACACAGTTTTGAGTTTCTTGAGTTTATTGATTCCCATAGAATATTTTGAAATGGAATGTCATGTTTCCTTTTATACTATGGATATTGATGGGTTTTCATCTCTTTTTTGATGAATGCCTCATAGGAGAGAATAATTGAACGCTTGAAAGAACAGCGGGAGAGAGATGATCGGGAAAGACTAGAAGAGATAGAATCCTTCCGGAAAGAGAACAAGGACCTGAAAGAGAAGGTCAATGCTTTACAAGCTGAACTGACAGAGAAAGAAGTAAGTCTGGGAAAACCAATGAACCCTGTTGATTCTCCTCTGAACTCATCATCATTAGAGCTGCTGGGAAGTAGAGACTTAGTTGAGAGTATTGAGTGAGGGTTTGAGGAACATGCTGCCCTTCTGCTTGCAAAGCTTCCTAAGTTCAAAGGAAAATACTTCATGTAAATTCTTTTCTTGCTGATACCTTCTGCATATCTTCTCTGCTCTGCTGAATGTACACAGTTCAGCTCCCTGAAATTTTTTTTTATGCCTTACCACAGTTATATGCCTTAGAAGATTCCATATTTTTAAAAATTCAGTGAACATTTGCTTGAGATAATAACAGAACTGATAACAATAGCTCCACGTTGAGTGAGGGGCTGTTGTGCATTAATGCTTGTGCTGTGTGCTTAACTTTTGACTGAGCCTCACAAATGGATCACCCATGTTCTCAGGCTTAGAGATAAGGCACTACTATGGTCATTGTGTTATAGATAAAATATGGTTGCTCATCTGGAATTTTGTTTTTATGTTACAGTAAATAATTTAAAACAGGATTCTCATGATAGAACAAATGTGAAGACAGAAGATAAATGTTACTTGTGCTTTAAAAGTAAGACTGAATACTTGAAATAAATTTCTTGCTTGGGAGTTCTGGAAAAAATGTATTGAATTATACTCCCTATATTCCAGAGGGTACTTACAGTCTCTTCTGTTTTCTGCAGTATACCTTGGTAGAAATGTATGAGAAGAAGCAGTCATACACATTATTTTATCCATTCTCCACAACTCTTTAAGATATGCGTCATTGTCTACAGCTGGGCCCTTTGCATTATTTTTGTCTACAAGACGTGTTGCTCTTCTTTAGGACTGTTCAAGCTTTATAGCCCTTCTGGACCAGCCCTGTGTTCAGTTGTCTGATTCCCAGCTTCATAGCATTATCTCATTCTTTGTATGTTGGTAAATCTACACAAATTAAAGTCCAGTCTCATTTGGGGAATCCAGACATAGAAGGGTGATGAATAAGAGGAATTTTGAGGAAACCCAGAAACAAAGCTATGCTAATTTCTTTTAGAGTGAAGATTTTTTTTTTGATATGAAGATTTAGAATTTAAGTCACTTTCTGCTGTTTTACTGCTAATTCTGTGATGGTCAACTGTTACCTACTGTAATTTGTATGTAGTAGAAGGGAGGCCAGAAGCATTGTTCTCATATGTCCTATCCTTCATTGATTAGAAATGTTATTTGTGGTTTTGTACCATAAAGTCAGTGAATAAGTTCCAGTTGAAAAGACACCTTCAAGATGAAAACTATCTTTTAAAGAGTGACAACAATGAATGAATTTTATACACTTCCAGAAACATTTATTGCACCTCTGTAGTCTGTTTGGCGCTGAGCTGAGTGTGTCAGATTCTGCTAGAAAATGGAATCATATTAAGACATCTGAATAGATTAAGGAATTCACTGCAGGGAAACGGTTTGTACATTATGGAGTTAGGAAAGGCCAATATGTGTAAGGTAGGCCATCATGAAGAGCAGACTAAAAACCATCAGAAGTTGATGGTATAATCACAAGCAGAATTCCTCCTCCCATAGGTTCTACTCAGAAGCCCTTTCCAATGGTAGGGTCAGGTCCACCCAGAGTATTGAGGGTAATATCCTTAAAGTGAACTGATTGTGAATGTCATTCGTGTCTACAAAATACCTTTATAGCAACACCCATATTAATAACTTGGGACTATGGCATAGTCAAGTAAAACTGGCCATCCAAACCATAAATAAAATTTATTTAAAGAAAACAATATAGTGTTGCACTTAGCAGGGGCATTATAACTAAATTAGCATAATAAACATCATGATGACAACATGACTAAATTACAAAGTCCTTCATTGTTTCTGCAGAAGCGATATGATGAAGAACACTAAAATCAGAGTGTAGACTTGAGTTTTGGATGTATATCTGCTTTTAGTGGCTAGGTGGCCTGTGATATTCAGGTAATGTCAATCTCAGTTTCCTAACCACAAAATAAAAAGAGCTCATCTGTATGTCAGAGTATTAAGGAGCACCTTACTGGATGACAATGTCCATTGTCACAAAGGTCATTCCAATGTCATGAAGTGGCCCAACATAAATTAGCTATTAGAGAACTACATGTATTTAGTATCTTTCTTGGTACTACCAATGGATAAAACAAGAAATATACATCATCTGATTTTGGGTGGAAACTACACATACCCATTTTATATCTTGTAATGACCATTGTCCTTTGTCTTAGTCACTTTCTCACTGTGACAAAATTCCCAATAATAAGCCAACTCCAGGGCAGAGTAAAATGGCACAGGGGCCTAGAGAAGGGATAACAGTGTGTCTCATGACATCTAGGAGCAGAGTCAGGGGAACAACTAGAAAGGGAGACATACTCTTCCAGGCCACACACCCCCGGCCACCTCTTCTAACCAGGTCCTACCTTCTCATATTGCATTTAACTATAAATTCATCAGTGGACTAAGACACCAATGCATATAGCGCCCCCATAATCTGATCACCTCCCCAAAGCCTGGCTTATGATCACCTGTTGCTCTGGGTGGACATCTAGGTAAAAACCACAGTACCCTTGTTAAGTTACAGTCAGTGATCTGAGAAAGAAGTTATTTCTTTGGTTTTTGAAATTCAGACTGTAAGGGCAAGTTCCTAGTTTCTGGACATGACTGGTGACTGAAAGAATAGAGGTAATTTCATTCTGAGTTGCAGAGATTTGTTCTGTATATTGAATCTAGACTATGAAGGACTGAAAAACAGAATCTACTTTAGTTTAAAATTTAAATATGCTTATCTTTGGTTCTCCAGAAGATGTTTGAAGAACCAGTTGTTACTTTTCAGTTAAAAAATATCGATTGATTAAAAAAAAAAAAGAACTTAATAAGTTGTTCCTTTTATATTTGATTTGCCCTTGGTGGGGAAAGCATTAACTAGATGTTTTCTGTCATAGTTGTCTCCCAGTCTGCGTGGTCTGACATCAATATATGTAAACGGAAGGTTCATGGTGTCTGGTTAGCCATGACATGGAAAGACTGCCTCGGGACTCACGTCATTAGCAGGACTTTGAGCTGTGAAAAGTGCCTTTGCTGACTACACCATTTGGTCACATTTGATTTTTTCTGCTATGAGATCCTTCTCGGTTCTGTAGGCTGGCCAACTTTAATTTCCTGGCCAGAGCTGACTATTGTTACCTTAGTAAGACTATATTTACTCGTTTTGTCTAATGTGTGCTTTATTGTTGTGTGTGGAATCAAATTGAAGTCATTGTTAAGAGAAATTGTGGTGTTTTACTTACTAGCATTCTTTTTTTTTTTTTTTTCAGTCTAGTTTAATTGATCTCAAAGAGCATGCATCTTCATTAGCCTCTGCAGGGCTGAAAAGAGACTCCAAATTAAAATCTCTAGAAATTGCGATCGAACAAAAGAAAGAAGAATGTAGCAAATTGGAAGCACAGTTAAAAAAGGTAAGTGAAGTCTAAGAAAATTCTGCTTATTTAAAAGTGAACTTATAAGATGGAAAAAAAGAGACATCTTTCAGAGGAAACAAAATCCTTATCTTTTTGCTGTCTGCTGATAAAAGAATTAATTAAACACTCTTAACTTTATCCTAAGAGCTCTATATCAAATCTGTCTGTGAACCTGAAAAATTACTTTAGGTTTCCTGTGAAAAGAAAACTTGAAAGATAGTAAAAAAGTATTAGAAGTAAAAAAATATTATAAAAACCAGCCATTACTCTCTGGGCAAATCTCAACTATCAAAAAGTAAATGAAAATTGTTTGAACAAAACAAGGAACTCAGGGGGCCCATTATTTTTTGATAAACTTTTACTGCCTTCAGAAGTAGGTTAATATTTGTATTACAGCTTTGCAAAAGTTTTTCTAGCAAAATGACATATCTAGAATTTCACAAAAATAGTCGAGTCCCTAGCATATCTGTAGAACAACTATTTGTGTTTGACAGAAAAAATGGCATTACTGTCTTAAAAAAGCTTGTTCTATTTAGAAAGCTTTGGAAAAGTAAGCAAGCTCTTTATATTGTGGCATTCAAATGTTTTCTCTTACCCAAACATTTTTGTGGAGTGCATTTCCAGTCATGCATTGTTCCTTTGACTCCCTGTGTTGTTTGGTATGTCTGCACTCATTGTTCACATAAAACTCATAGCATTATGAGTTTAAGCATTTTGTTTCCCTTTGAAAACTTATAAATGTATTCAAAAGTGATCGAGTCTAAAAATTCAAATAAGGCATATAAAAATGTCTATAACTTCTTATGTAATAGAATGAGTATGAGCTATAGTTATGAAAATAAATGACATGAATGGTCAGGGATTTGAAGGAATCATATGTGTGAATGAACTAGTGTGGATATTTTAAATTTTAACATGCTGTTTTGTCTGATGCAGTATATGACTACTTTGTACTCACGTTACGTGGAATTTTAGGAAATTGTCATGAGAAATTCCATACTAACTCTACAAATTTATATAATAAAATATAAATATACAATCTTGCCTCCTTTTAACAAAATGGCAAAAAATCTAGGTTGCAAAAATCTATTTAATAATTCACTCAACATCTCCCTTATTTTAAGCAATATTTAGTTAAGCAGAAACCTTGAACAGTAAATAAGTAAAGTACCCATTTTAGGGTATTTAAATGAGATTGACTTGGCTATTTATGCATTGGGGTATGGTATACATTGTTGACATATATATATATATATATATATATATACATACACACACAACTGTGTTCTACAATATGGTATACATGTATATACATATCAGGAAATTCATATATGAAGATACCTTTTATTTTATTGTGCATTTTGTGATCATAAGGAAGGCTTGGAAGTAATTTTGAAAGAAAAAGACATTCACTGGCTCTCTGTAGTGGTTCTTTACACTGTCTTGATTCATTTGCAGTCTGCTGAGTGTGGAGGAAGGGGATCTCAAATAGACCTGGGCCAGAGAGATGCCCTCTTTTAATTCTGATAAGCTATCATCGAGATCATATTACATGTCAATCATTTGTGATTTTTATGGATACATATTCCACACCCTCCTTTTTTAATGTAGCTCATCTGTGGACTTTGGAATCCCCCAATAATTAAAAAGGAAGAAGCTTACATACTGATTGATGCCTTTAGTTTTCATGTACATGTCTCGATTAGTTTAATTAATCATCTTCTACATTTTCACCATAGCTGTGGTTTGCCCATTAGATCACCCTCAGTGTGTATTTTCCTTTGTCTCTCAGGTGGACACATTTACTAAAGTTCACAGGCCAAATCCTGTGAATGTTTTAACATTATTTTAACAACATTTTAATATTCTGTATTACCAAGAAGTGACAAATACAGTTGTGTTACTGTAAAGGAACTATTTAATTTATTTCTAAGTAATTATATAATCTTTGTTTAAACTATCTCCTAAATGCATAGTACAGTGAACTTTAATAAGGTAATAATAATTTCAGCATTTTTATGCTTAACCTGCAGATGCTATTTTATTATTTTTGGCTCTCTAACACTACCTAAATTGAAGAGTTTAAAATATTTTTCAGTAGTGTTTAGTTTGTGCTAATAAATAGTTTTGTAAAAACCTCAAGTACCCATCACCTTAAAGAGAATTGAGATCTACAAAAAAAAATTGAAAATATAAACCAACAGTGTATGAATATGCATATAAACACATCATTTACTCATGGAAAAATAAGCAGCTATAAAATCTTAAGGAGTGTCTGGGCCTCCTTTTAAATAAAAGGGTATGTGACCTGTGAATAAAATATAAAGGCTCACTAAATGAAAGCTGAAACATAATAGTTTTACTATGTCGTAAATATACCATGGAGTCCCAGTGGAATTTTGCTCAAAATTTGTGAGTGTCTAGGTATTTTTCTGCCATAAAATCCATACAGTGTCATAGATGTATTCAGATATCTGTCTCCCAGTGATGATAAAATCCAAATTAGATTCTTATTTTTGTCTCCTGAACAATGCTTGATCATTGGAAATCTGAGCTTTTCATATAAGTTTGTGTAGAACATTTACATGCATAATTTTAACCCTTTACTATGTGGTTTCAATTTAGAATTTCTTCAAGTTCTTTATGGTGAAAACTGGCGATAGGCAGAAAAAACCTTTTCTTCACACATTCCATCCTAACTCCTAAGAACAGTGCAGTCAAGACGGCATGGTGGCACGCACCTGTAATCCTAGCGCTTGGGAGGCGAAAACAGGAGGATCACTATGAGTCCAATCTGTATAGTGAGACCCTGTAGAACCTGTCCTAAATACATTTAAAAAATAAAAAAAAAATAGTGCAGTCAAACTCTCAGATATAAAGAAATTCTCACTATTACTGACACTTCTTAAGTAAGGCTAATCAAATGATATGTGCCTTCTAGTTATGAATGTGCTTTATAATGCAATGCATTTATCAGTTATAGACCTGCAGGATTGAGAAGAAGCTGGTCATAGATGTATGCATCATGTTGTCTTTCAAAAGAGTATTTTTAGGTTCAAAATATAAAGGGCAGATAAGCTTTCTGAGTAAAAATCAGGGCAGAAGCAACAGCAATTCAAAATGTTATTATTTATTCTGTTTAGTAATTTCCCAATGAATGTCATGCTTGAAGAGGAAGCATTTTAAATCATAAAAGAAAAATCATTTACTTTTTGCAAGTCAGAGTAACAGGAGTCCTGGCCCCTAGAAAGGCATATCTCAGCTTGAAGTAATAGTTTCTATAGTATTTCACCTTTTGCACCTTGCTGTTGAGCCCCAAGTTATGGCAAATATTTAAGAAACACAACCAGAAAGTACTATTTAAAATAATAGTAAGTAGTACCTTGAAGACCATAGCCATTTAATTCTCTATATAATATTGACAGGATTGTAAAGCCAGAATTTCTTCAAAAATTATATTTTTAAAATTAATTCTCAAATAATAGTCAAAGCTGGTACTAGGCAATGGACAATACTGTATCATGATTCTTTTAATCTACTACTGACTTAAATTTTTCATTTCCAGATTAAGATTTAACTTAATCTGATAACATTTTGCTTACTGGTACTTTGCTACTATTAACCTGCCATTTTTTAATCTATAGTTTTTGAAGTTAAAGTGAATAGGCTAGTCAGGCTTGTATTAATATGGAAGAAGTATAAAATCAGTGATAAGCTTCAATTAATCTTTTATTATTACCATCTTTAAACTTCAGGAAATAAATTGCAAGCTTGGCCAACAGTACTTCTTCTGATTCATTGCTGAGGCCAGCACTTCATGTATCATCAAAAGTAGACAGCTTTCTTTATTTCACGGGTTATTTAACTTGAGAAAGGGAAAGTAACACAAACCTTAAATTTCTTATTCTAGCTATTCTTTTTTAGGAGCCAAAGTCAACAATTGAATTTCCCTAGAGCATCTCACTTTCACTGTGGAATGTTTAGAAACTGAATTTTTTTCTCTTTTTTTTAACGACCAGTTTGTCTGTGCGAATGCACTGGATTTGTGGAGCTAATGCTGTTTTTCTGGATCTTTCCTTCTTTCCCTGTCTATGCTTCAATGCCTCCCCAACTTTGCAATGTAGCAAGCTGAGCAGTTGTTCAATCAGATGTACAACCCAGTAAGTCACTTTTGAGATTTCCCGCTGTAACATATCAAAGCATGAGGATCTATTGATCACATGTCACATTGCGCTGAACTGGGAAAGTTTTGAAAATATTTATTAGCCTCTTCCTGTTTTCATTCTGTCAAAAGAAACTGTGGCCATTGCCATTTCTTTTGAAATTTAAAAATTAAGAACTCAAAGAAATATTTCTAGCTCTGATATGATCATATTCTTAACTTCAAATCCAAGACTATAGATAAAGAAAAGTCAGTTGAATTTTAGGCTGATGGAATTTATCCTTAGATACTTCAAACATGGACTAATCTGTGTTAAAAGCAATAGTATTTGTAAAATAGCAAACAACTCAATGAATGCTCTATTTGTAAGATAGACATTAAACTTGATGAGATTTAAAAATAAGCCCATACTCTTTGAGGTGGCTAAATGCTTTATTGTGGGTTTTTTGTAAGAGTTTAAAACATGTCATTTGGCTAAAGATAAATCATAATTCAGTCTCCTAATAATAGATGATAGCAATTCTGATTGTACCAGAAGGGAATACCAAAAAACAAAACAAAAAAGGGTAACTTTTAAGAATATTTTTGGGCTAGCGAGATAGCTCTGCAGTCTAAAGCTTCTGCTTAGGCAAGCTTAGCAGTTGCAGGGGACTGCAGTTCAATCCCCAGCACCACGTGCCATGCCAGCCCCACCCTCAGGGTGGGCTCAGCCGGCCAAAAAAAATAAAAGAATATTTGTAAAACAGTCCAGATGCTACCAGCTGTCTTAGTGACAGGTATGCATTTATATGAAGCAGTTTATTTGTTTCTTTAATTCATTTGAGAAGGGCACTTT